AGGGAGGCACTCCGGGGCAGTGGCAGGCATGGATGACCCTGGCCCTGGGTTCCCGCTCTGCCCATGACTCACTGGGGTTTGCAGTCTCCCTCCCTCACCTTCCTGGCCCCTTTCCCTCCATCCCTGTTGTGTGGGGTGCTGCCAAGGCTCTAGCTCCCTCCGAGGGCAGGATGCCCAGGTGGCTGCCATGACCAGGACCCGCTGGCCAGGGGCTGGGTCAGGTGGAACAGGGCTGGAGTGGGGCGACTGGGACCCAAGGCACTGACCCAGGCTCCGGGGGCTCTGAGCCCTGACGGGCCAAGCTCCCTTAATGGGAAAGGCAGGCAGCAGAGCCCCAGGCCAGGGGAGGGGCAGCCGGACCTGCCTGCGGAGGGAGGAGGGAGGAGGGAGGAGGGAGGAGGGAGGAGGGAGGAGGGAGGAGGGAGGAGGGAGGAGGGAGGAGGGAGGAGGGAGGGGGCAGGAGGGCCATGAAAGGGCCCTTCACACTGTGCCACGCTCGCTGGGAAACCTTTCCAACCGCCAGCATGATCCGCAAACTGCAGCTGCAGCCTGGCAGATGGACGTGGCTTCGTGGCTTCAGGGTGGAGGAGGGTGACAAGGGGAACAGCTGAGCCCTCCCACCCGGCTGCTCCCCGCTGGCGGTGGGCCGGCCTCGGGGCAGTTTCTTTGCAGTAACTTGGACCTTCCCATAAAGCCGGCTCCCGGTCCATCTGCCCATCCTGCAGCGCCCCCTGCTGTCTGAGACGGTAGCGACAGGCAGAAGGCGGCGTCCGCCTCACTGAGCTGCTCAAGCGCTGGCTACAAGGGAGGGAGGGCTGGGAGTGCGGGGGGGGGGGGGGGGGGGGGGGGAAGGGGGGGCATCCAAGTTTCCCTAGACACCCCCATGTCAGAGGCTGTCCCGTTATCGCTTCCAGCACATTATAACCTGGCCCACCAACGGGCTTGATGTTTAATTCAGAAAGTGTGGTTCCGCCCTCTGGGTGACCCCAGCAGATTCGCTAGAGGCCTATCGCGTCCCCCCGCCCCCCCAAGAGGCCTGTCTATCGCGTCTTCTCCCCCCACCTCCCCTGGCGCCCGGGAAGAGGTGAACAGCTGTGGACCCTTTTACCCAACCCGCCTGCCTCTTCTTTTGGACAAAAAGAAAAAGGGAAAATCCAGTGAAGCCCCTCAAGGGAAAAACACTGGTGGGGGAGTGAGGACGAGAAGAAAGGAGACCACGTTTAAACTGCCCAGCTGCCCGTGGCTCAGTGGTTGAGTGTCCACCTATGAACCAGGAGGTCCCGGTTCGATTCCCCATCAGGGCACATGCCCGGCTTGTGGGCTTGATCCCTAGTGTGGGGCATGCAGGAGGCAGCCGATCAATGATTCTCTCTCATCATTGATGCTCCTTCTCTCTTCCTCTCTAAAATCAATTTAAAAAATGTGTGTATATCTCTATCTATCATCTATCTAATCTATCTATCTATCTATCATCTATCATCTATCTATCTATATAACCCTAAGTGACTGTTTCACCATTTGACTGGTAGCTATGACATGCACTGACCACCAGGGGGCAGACACTCAATGCACAGGCATGGAAACATGGAACAGACTGATGAATCTCAGAGGGAAGGGAGGAGGGGGGAGGGCAGGAAGAGATTAACCAAAGATATTATATGCACACTAGAGGCCCAGTGCATGGATTCGTGCACCAGTGGGGTCCCTCGGCCTGGCCTGCAGGAATCAAGCCGAATCTGTTCACCGGGCTTCCGACATCCCCTGAGGGGTCCTGGATTGTGAGAGAGCACAGGCCAGGACAAGGGACCCTACTGGTGCACGAATCCATGCACTGGGCTTCTAATATATTTGCGTGTGTGTGTGTGTGTGTGTGTGTGTGTGTGTGTGTGTGTAAATTAAAAAATACACACACAAAACTAAAGACACAGGACTGACTCTAAACCTCGCTACACCCACTACAAAGAAGAGAAAGGTGAGCCCTGGTCCGTGCAGCTCAGGTGGTCAAGCATCGTCCTGTGCGCTGGAAGTTCGCTGGTTTGATTCCCAGTCGGCATGTACCAGGGTTGGTCTTGGTCCCAGGTGGGAGGCTTACAGGAAGCAGCCAATTGATGTTTCTCTCTCTCCCTCTCCCCTCCTCTCTCTTAAAAAAAAAAAATCAACAGCATATTTTTAAAAATAAAAAATAAATAAAAACACATTTTTAAAAATACACACACAGATATAGAGACCAGAAAAGAACTTGTCAACCAACTTCCACACCAGCAAAAGCCGTATCTACACTTGGGAAGACACGAAAGATGCTTGAGAAACAACTGCCCTCCAATGTTCACAAAGACTTAGTGATGGGACGGTCCGTCCACTGACAGACTGGACAGCGTCTGACAGGCTGGACTGGGCCGTGGGTGGGGCCTGTGAGGAAGAAGAGCTTCAGGAAGGATGTCTGTTAGCCAAGTATTTCAGCAGATGGGTTGGAGGAGAGGGGGGGGACCCGGACCACTGCAGCCTCCTTCGCTAAAGCCATTGGGAGCTTAATGATAAAAATGCACAGAGAAACAAGAGCAGTTTTCATCAGACTTTTCATTTACATGCGGGGACATGCTTATCACAGCGACGACCCCTTCATCTCACTAAAGGGGCTCCAAAATGTTACAGAGGAACTGTCAACCGATGCAACTTATTAGGAAAGTAGGTCGTCGGTTTCCAAATCTGAGAGGCCCAAGACTAGTGTCCATAGAATGGTAGCAACACTCAGGTAACAGGTGAGGTCACTTTCATATTAACACCCGGGTTCTCCTGGCTCAGAGCCCCACCTGTGCAGAACGCCACCTACCTCCACAGAGCCTCCCCACCTGTCTCGGGAAGGCCCTGGTTTCACCAGAAACCAGCGTGTGAATCTCTCCGTCTCCCTGAGGACAGCTCACCTGCCCGTTGAGAGAGGTGCCCCGTCATTGCCCATCCGTAGCTGCCTCCCATGACAAGGGTCTTCCCTGGTTTGGGGCGCCTCTCCTTCAGGGTCCTGTGGATTTTATACAGGGAGGGAAGAAGGTCCCTCCCCAGCTGTGTTCCATTAGGTTCTGCACCAAAAGGCACCTTCCTTCCCAGAGCCTCCTTCCGTAGGGCTGGACCCTGGGACGGGGCTGCGGGGTGGACATCCCCTTCTCCCTCAGGGGTGCCTTCGCGTGCACCTCTTCCTCCTTAAGCAAGAGTGAAGCCCTGGTGCATCAACTCTGTCCACTGCACATCTGTGTGCCCCGGGGGGCCCTTTTGCCCTCAATCTACTCAGGGTCAGCCGAGACCATGCGGTGGCGGAAATGGGGGGCTTACAGGTCCTCAATGCTCCTCTGAACTCCTGGGACCAGCGGTGTCTCAGGTCTGGGAATTTTTCAGGGTAGAGAAAGGTCCAGTGTGGCTACTCCAGGTGTTAGGGCTGGATCCCAGCGGCCGTTCATCGTCTCCTGTCGGGTCAGGTCGGGTTTTGCCACTAGATGTGTCAGTAGCAAACTCGGGAAAGACGTTCTGGTTTTCAGAGCGTGCCTGGTTTTAGAATTGTGGCTGAAGGACTGGGACCTGCCTTTTCCTCCCTCTGGGAGTGGCTGCATGTCCTTTCCTGGTCGGTCCTGCTCCGGGTAGAAGGAGAGAGGAAAAGGGGGAAAGCCGAGCATCGATCGTGCACTGACTGCAGGCCCGCGTCCATCTGGCTCTCTCGCCTCTGTGACCCCATTAAGGGGGTGGGTGCTGGTGGGGGCCGGCCTGCACCTCCTGTGCAGGGGAAGGTCAGCTCGGCCTGACCGGGAAGCAGAAAGCGGCGCCTAATGTGTTTACCCAGCGCGGGAGCAGGTGGGAGGTCCATCTGCCAGTCTCTCGCAGCTGCCGCCCCAGGAGAGGGGGCCCTAGAGAGGCAGGCAGGGCCCCCAGAGCCCCCCAAGGTCAGTCTCAGGTCGGAGGAGCCCCCTCCCTCCTCTCTTCGATGGAGAAAGGCCTTTTCTCCAAGTGGAGTGGGCGCGAGGGCGGGGTAGTCCTCCCTTCCTGCTGTCCCTCCCGGCCCCTGGGCTGAGAGGGCATTTCCTTCTCCCATAGTCATGGCAACAATGACACTGGCCCCCCCAGGAAGCCTGCTCGGCTCCAGGGAGGGAGTGAAGGGGAACCAAACCAGCATGGCTGGCGCCCAAGGGGTCGCATCTCCTTAGAGCTGGGGCATCTGCTTTAAGGCACCCCCTTTCCCACCGCCTCTCCTGGTGCTCCACCCGCACATTCGGTTCCCCAGCCCAGGAATCCTGGAGGTACCTTTCCTTTCACTGAAGCCAGAGACGTGACCAATTTAGGGAATTAGAGGTGGGCCCTAGGAAATTAGGTGGGAGCCTGGCCGGTGTGGCTCAGTGGTTGAGCGTCAACCTATGAACCAGGTCGTCACGGTTCAATTCCCGGTCAGGGCACAAGTCCAGGTTGTGGGCTCGATCCCCAGTGTGTGTGGGGGGGGGGGGGGGAGAGAAGGCAGCTGATCAATGATTCTCTTTCATCATTGATGTTTCTCTCTCTCTCTCCCCCTTCCTCTTTAAAATCAATAAAAATTTATTTTTTTAAAGAAGGAAATGGAAACAGGTCATATTCATCCATCCATCACCCATCCATCTATTATTCCATTCATTCATTCATCCATTCATTCACTCATTCAGCCAGCATGACCTTTGCCTTCCTAATGTGCCGGGTGAAATGTCCCTCATCATGGAATGCCCACAGCAGCTGGCACTGTTAGCCTGTGCCTGGCAGGGCCCCCTCCTTGTTTCAGGAAATGGGAATTGCTGGTAAAGCAATGCCAGAGTTGGGTAAACTGTCCTCCCCTCTGCTTGGGGGGCTGCCCCCCAAGGAAGGAGCCTCTCCCTCTGCCCCCAGATTGCAAGGTAGGGCGCTGGTAAAGTTTTGTGGACACAACCATGAAGGCCCAGTACACTGGCCCCGAGCTCGCCCCCGCCCCCTGCCAAGCTCGCCGGCTGGGCCCCCCTCTACAGTTCTGCCCCTTCAGGGAGTCCCGGAGGCTTCAGCACGGGCTCCGCCACCGTGCCCTCTGGCTGTGGCCCCAGGATGCAGGGCAGGTGGGCATCGTGAACGACCTCTCGGATGGTGGCCCGGAAGGTCTTGCTGACAAAGCAGTAGAGGCCAAAGTTGACCACCGTGTGGAGCATGGCGACCATGTTGGCCACGTCCAAGGCCAGGTGGACCCGCCAGTCCCGGTGCACCGGGGCGACGTACAGGTGGTAGAGCATGACGAAGATGCGGGGCGCCCAGAGGCAGGCGAAGAGGGTGGTGAGGCCCAGCAGGATGGCGGTGCTCTTGCCCACCCGGGGCCGCGGCCCACGCCCGCCCCGCCTCCGCAGCCGGCAGATGAGGGCGGAGTTGGTGACCAGGAAAATGCCGCCAGGGATGAAGTAGACGGTGAGGCAGTGCGCCCACTTGAGGGCCTCGTCCAGCGTGCTGGGGGGGCCTGGGTCCCTCCACACGTCCAGCCACCAGTAGAAGGGGATGCCCGTCAGCAGGGCGGCACCCAGGACGATGGAGATGTCCCGGCGGGCCCGGCCCGGGGAGGAGGCCGCCCGGTGGTGCAGGGGGCGGCACAGCGCGCTGTACCGGTCGAACGTGAGCAGCACGGCGATCCAGACCGAGGCGTGGATGGCAGCAAACTCCAGGATGTTCACGGTGTGTGCCACGGAGCGGGGCAGGTCCCGGGCCAGCACGGCGCCCTGCAGGAGGAAGCCCCCGAACACGATGACTACCTGGGTGACGATGTCCGAGGCCGTGAGCGCCAGCAGGTAGTAGTACACCGGCTTCCGGGTCCTGGCGGCCAGGCGGGCCAGGGCCACTGTGGTCAGGACGTTGACTGATGGCAGCCGCAGTCCCAGGGGGAGAGGTCAGAGGCGTTAGAGGGGCCGCGCGGACCCTGCTTTCCAAGGTGCTGTCACCGCGCCTCCCCCCCTGCTTGTTCTGGCTTCTTTTCCTCTTTCCAGACTCTTCTGAAAACTCATTTTGTCAGGAGGCTGACCAGGTCAGCCCTGCCCTGTCCACCCACACTCTGCCCCCGCCCCCACCCCCACCCCCCGGCTCCCAGCCTCTGACTTCACCCTGGGGCAGGCAGGGACGGGTAGTTCCCAAGGCCTGGACCATCTGTCCCTTCCTGAATCCGCCCCCCCCCCCCCCCCCCCCAGCTCTGCTCTCTGCAGGCGTTGGACGGGACTGGGAGCTTTTGCCCGAATCCTGCAAGGATTTAGTTGTCCTAGGAGCGTGCTTACTGCTGGTGTGGATGGGGGCTGTCTGTGCTGGTGAATCCCGGGTTTAGCTTGAGTACCCCAACTTCTGGCCCCTCACTTTTACTCCCCACTAAGCTTTGCTCCCCAGAGACCCAGATCACCCCCCCTAAAGACAAAGGGAGCCTCAGGGGACAGCATAGAGGGTTGGCTCTCATCAAAGGAGCACCCCAATTTCTGGGCACCCCCCCCAGGACCCCAGACCCTAGCTCCCCACTCACCAGGCAGCCCCAGGCTCAGCAGGATGCTGTAGTAGATGGTAGGGATGACACCAGCCACACATGGGGACCTCTCCGAGGTCTTTGGCCAATGGCCTTCAAGCTCCGGGCTCGGCCCACTGCCATTGGGTGTGGGCAGCATGGCCACTCGTGGCTGGCCAGCTAGGAAGGGCGGAAGGGCGTGGGGTTAGAGCACTTGGTCTCTTTCCAGCCTGGCCTGGTAGCAGCCCCACCCTGACCCTGACCCTGAGGTCTCTATGCGCCCCTGCTTTGTGCAGACCCTCAGATCAGGCCCCGCCAAAGGACAGTCTTCATTGCCAAGCCCACATGCCCTCCCGCCCTCCGTGGTCCGGCCTCCCCACTGATGGGAGGAAGCCCTCGGTGGCATGTCTGGCTGCCATGGAGACCGTTTCCCCACCACGCTGCTCCTGGTGGGTCCTCAGCCTGGAAAGCAGGAGGGGGCGGCCGTGAACATGCAGGCTCCCCAGCCTGGCTCCGGGCAGGCTGCGCGGAGGGTCCGTCGAGGGCCTGGAGCGGCTGTGATTTTCCTAAGTGTCCTGGCGACCATGACCGAGGGTGACCCACAGCAGCTGCCTGGCTCCACTCAACAGCCGCCCCTCTCCAAGGAGAGCCGGTACCAGGTTCTCCTCTCTACGCTCAACAACCCTCTTCCCGGGTGAGCACATGGGAGCTGGGGTGGCCCTGGCTTTCCGATGGGGAAACTGAGTCCAGAAGGTAAGGTGGCCTCCCTGCGCCCCTCAGCCCCCACTTTAGGTCTTTAGGCTTCACCTTCTAGTTGTGATTTCCTGCGTTATTCCCTCCCAGCTCCCCCGCCCCGGCCTCCGTATTCGGTACCTGTCCTTCCACCCGCCTCTCCCCTCCCACCCAGGGCTGGACACTTTACCTGTCTCGTGCCTCTCCAGCCTCAGGCTCCTGGGTCCTGAATTTGAGGTCGCCTTGTGGCTTTCCCAGAGTGGCTCTGCAGGCCCCTCCCAGCATCGCCAGCTCTCCAAGCAACTGTTTGCCCTGTGGCTTTTCCAGCCGCACTGAGCCCGGCAGGGCAGAGAGGTAGGACGATGGGGAGGAGGGAGGAGGAGGAAGGAAAGGGTGGGGCTGAGTCTCGGGGGAAGACGCCTGTATAGTAAGTGTGGCCTGGAGCAAACCCGAATCCCTGGGGGCCCACAGGCAGGGCCGGGTGCACAGCTGGGAGGGAGACCTCAGGGAGAGGGCAGGGGCGTGCACCCCAACACTCAGGGAACCCGCCTGGCTCAGCGGGGGCTGGCACGCCTGCGGGGCCGACTTTGGGGAAAGGCAGAAGGGCTTGGGGAACGGACTCTACCAGCATCAAAGAGTGGAGGGCAGGTCTGCAGAGAGGGGTGAGGGAGCCAGAGCTGGGAGGGAGAGGCGAGGTCACCCTGGGCCGGGCCCAGCCTTGGGCTTGGAGGAGTGGGTCCGGCAGCTGCTGCGGGCGGTGGGGACCAGGGGGCGGCCACGGGGGCTGCAGGCCGGGGGCTGTCCGGAGGCCCTGTGACCACTGAGAGGACTCAGCAGTGAGCAGGCTGCCAGCGGCGCTGGGAAACCGGGGCGCAGTGGCCCCGCAAGCTGTTGTTTTCCTGGCTGGTGAAATGGACCATCTCTCAAGGAGTATCAGTCACTGGCAAATAAACACCAGCCGGCGTGTGAGCGCGCAGAGCGGCTGGGCTCCGCGCCTGGCCAGGCCCCACCCCCCACCCCGGGGAGCGTGGCCAGTGCGGCCCCGAGTGGGCACCCAGGACCCCACGGGGTGACGGGGTGACGTGGAGGAGAGCCGAGGCCCCGTCTGCCATCCTCCCCGCGCTCGCCTCCCACTCCCCTCACGGAACATAGCAGCCCGGCTTCCAGGCTCCCTAAGTGAGATCCTTCCTCTGGGGCTGGAACTACCGTGACACCCCCCTTCCCCCCTCTCCCACCTCCGGGGCCACCCCTGCAGCAATCACGGAATTCTTACTGCCCCCTGGTGGCCATGTCCCGACACTGCAGACCTCTGAGAGGCCACGGCTTTGGCCAGGTCCCGTGGACGGCGTAGGGGGACTGGAGTAGAAACTACCCACTCAGGTCCCCAGGAAGAGCACCCAGGGCCCCAGCCCCAGCGCAGCGAACTCTCAGGAAGACAGAGAATTCCCCAGGCCGCACCCCGAGGCTCTGGGTGAGCAGGAGCCACAGACAGTGGAGTCAGCAAGGCCAGCTGTGTGCGGGGCTCCGCCATTCCCCGAGCACCCACTCTATCCCCACACCTGCCACGCCCCTGGCAGCCCCCCCGCCCCCCCTCGCCAACCCTGGTATCTTCATTTCACACAAGAGGGCACCAAGGCTCAGAGAAGCTCAGGAACTCCGTTAAGGCCACTGCACTCAGATAGGGAAGGGCATTCAAGTCGGGGGAACAGCACAACAGGGTGCAGAGGCAGTAAAGCGGATGCGCCACCCCTGAGGGGACATCCTGGCTTCAGGGGAAGCGTTCAATGGTGTGAGTGACTCCAGGGAAAGATTCCTCCTTGTGCGTTATTCGTGTGACTCCGTTCCCCAAGCTCGGTGTCCGAGGAGACCCCAGCTCAGGAAGGGAGATGGTACAGGCGGAAGGGGGGCTGCGGTTTGGGCAGGGCTGGCTGGAGCCCACCCTCCGAGGGGGTGTCACTGCAGCCCAGCGTCCGATCCCCCCATTCAGCAGGTTCAGAAACTCTCTCTCCCTGCCCTGAGCTCAAAAGTGTGCAGTTGCTCTCACAGCGCCAGGGAGTCCTTGCACAGCGGGGCCCTTTACGGCAACTGCGACCGCTTCCCGGAACAGACGGCGTGGGGTTGTGGGAAGAAAGGTCGGGCGAAAGGCAGCGGCCTTTGCGTCCTGGCTCTGCCTGTTCCTGGCCGTGAGACCAAGTCGCTTAGGTTATAAACACTCTGTCCTGGGCAGGAAGGAGCCGTCTGGGCAGGAATTGTTCTAGCTTGAGAGCTCCTCAGACTGGCTCTCAAGGAATCGTGGAGTTTCCAGGTGCTCAAGCAAAACAAAGAGAGTATTTCCAATCCTCCATCTCCCGGGGCCCTCCCTCCCCTCCCCCAGGGCCTCTTTCCTCTCTGCTCCAAGATGCTTGCACACACGCACATACGTACACACACACACATGCATGCACGCATACACGTACACACACACATGCATGCACGCATACACGTACACACACATGCATGCACGCATACCAACACGTACACACACGCACGGAAACACACACATGCATGCTTGCACACACGCACGTACACACACACATGCATGCACGCATACACACACACACACACACACACACACACACACACACTCCAGCAACCCTCAGACTGCAAGGACAGAGTGCCTGTTCCTAGAAAGCCAGGTTCCTAAATCGTCAGAGGAGCTCCGTGGAGGACGGGAGTTAGAGACCGTAGGAGGTGGGGCCTCCAGGGATGGGAATGAGAGGGGACCCCCCAGTCTCCTTGGGATCCTGGGGCCTCTCCAATCACTGCGCCCCTGAATGCCAACCATCCAGCTCGAGCTGGACCTGGGTGCACCTGACAGCGTCCAGGAGGCTTTGAAAGCAGCGGTGCAGGCGGGTTGCCCTCCTAGAAAGAACCCGCTTCTAGAAAGACTGCTGGTGTGCAGGCCAAAGCACCATTTCCTGAGCAGTGGGCTATTTTATCACTCTCTTTCTCGTCAGTAACTTTCCCATTGAAAGTATTTCTCATGGAACTAGGACACCACCACCACCCCCCCTGCCCCGCGGCCTGGACCCCGCCCCCCCCGCCCCCCACTGAGGCTCGGTGGGGCAGCCCATGGGAAGGCAGGGGGCAGCCAGTGGACAGGGATAGCGGAGTCAACCAGGGGAACCAGGCATGAAGGTCAGGGCAGCCGGAAGGGGTTTCCACCGGCTGGACAGCTCCATCTCTGCCAACCCGGATGCGGCAGGTGCCAGGCAGAATTCCTGCTCTGTCTGAGGCACCAGAGAGGGGGTGGAGCTGTGGGTCTCTGTGCCAGCCAGGGGCGGAAATCGATGCATCCAGCTGGTCCCTGGGATCCAGAGAGCAAGGGAGGGCAGGCTCCCACCCAGCCCAGACAAGACCTGGCCTTGGGAAAAACTCAGAGCCCAATCTCTGGGGAGCCCCCCCGCCCCCCACTTCTGTTCATCAACCTCTAAGGCAATGGTTCTCAACCTTCTGGCCCTTTAAATACAGTTCCTCATGTTGTGACCCAACCATAAAATTATTTTCATTGCTACTTCACAACTGTAATGTTGCTACTGGTATGAATCGTCATGTAAATATCTGATATGCAGGATGGTCTTAGGCGACCCCTGTGAAAGGGTCGTTCGACCACCAAAGGGGTCACGACCCACAGGTTGAGAACCGCTGCTCTAAGGAGTCCCTCTCATTGAGACTGAGCCAAGCTCCACTCACTCCCTAAAAAGGTGAGGTCTCAACAACACCCCCTCCCAGCCATTCCCCCAAGTCCCAGACCCCTCCCTCCCCTCCCCCAGGCCCCAGACCCCACCTCCCCTCGCCTTTCCTGTGTTTTTACAAGTGCACTCCTCTGCACGAGCCCACGGAGACCTGCCCTATGGGCGGGTGGAGTGCCAGGTCTGCTGGGTGTCTCCTTGGAATTCTGGGAAGGGAAGCATTATAGCTGAAGTTGGACAGAAGCTCGGAGGAGAAGCCGTACAAGGAGGGGAACCTAGAGGCCCGCAGCCGCCGAGGAAGGTGACCTAACGGGAGGGTGGCAGGGGGACAGGTGTGCACCTCAGCATCTCCAGGCCCCACGCCCAGACTGTGCTGGTGGGCAGGGGTGGGCACACGGGATAGAGTGCACCTGCCTTATGCCCAGCCCTGCCAGCTTAGCTCATCTTGACTTTTTGGGGGGGATGACGGTCACAGCCCATCACCCTCCCTAGACTGTGCCAGGGACATTCTTCCACACACAAACAAAACAAGAAATGACACCAGTTACCTATGAGCGGGTTCCTTCTAGAAGGGTACCTTTGACACCCTTGCCCCCCTCGCTGGAGAGCTGACCCACCCCAGAATGGGAGAGGGGTGAGGGCGAGGGTGGGAGCCTGAGCCGCCTAGTCCCTCCCTCTCCCAGGCGCTTCCTCTGCA